TGCCGCGATACAGGCGCCCGCATATTGACATAAACGCAGGTTGAAATCGTTCTTAATGTAGACAGCGAGTTATCTGAAATGGCGCCAACAGGTGGCGCGGCCGCGCTTCGCGCGTATATCCGCTGCAGACTGTCCAGTGCACTAACATTAGACTAGCCCAGGCCCGTAGCCAGGGGGGTTCGGGGGGTTCGAACGAACCCCCCCCCGCGAGCCCCTCCCCCCAAGCAAAAAAATTTTTTTTTTGAAAATTTGCAAGAATTTCATTTTAGGTCGCTCCATTTTCGTGTAATAATTGCAAAATCTCCATCGTGCGGGAGGGTGAACAGTGAACACCTCCCTCCCACACCCTCCCCCCGCTCGGTCGCTTGGCTCTCTCGCCTGGTCGCTTCGCGCCCGAGCAGGGGCATGTACAGGGGGGGTCCAGGGAGTCCGGACCCCCCCTTGCTCGCGCAGAAAACGCATCTGAGGGGGTGTAATTTTAAAAATTACCCCCCCCCTTCGCATGCTCGCAACTATGACTTACGGTTAGACCCCCCTGCTACAAATCCTGTACCCGCACCTGCCGAGCAAATTGCCAACATTGAAAAACGAACCCCCCCCAATAGAAAGCTGGCTACGGGCCTGGACTAGCCTATTGTTTGATACTTGAGATTAGTCAAGATCACATTACATAAGAGTTAAGATTAGCGATAAACTACTAGTTTCGAATTTTGATAATAATTTTTAGGTTCTTCTAACTCTGTACCACGGAAACATACTGCGCAAGTTATTAATTTATGCAATAGTGATAATGATGAGGGAGCAGTGGGTCGAGCCATCAATGATGGCGTAAACATTAGGAAAATTGGTGTGTGTAATAATTAATGAAGGTTGGTGGTGAATATCAATTAATGGGATTATGTTAGTAATGAAATAGCCGCTATTACAACTCGTGGTTGGCGTCTGTATTTTGGCAAGCTTGACATTGACTTGCTCCTTGTCGTTGAAAGGAGCATGGATGATCGTAGTATATTGAAATGAAATAATTACTTACAGGTGAAAAAGGGAAGAAAACAAAGGAGCACAAGCATTCTAAGAAATCAAAAGATAGAGACCGAGAAAGAGGGAAACCGAGTTCAGAAGAGAAAAAACATAAATCTAAACACAAAGAGAAAGTTAAACCGGTAATAATGGCTTTTGTGACGTATTTTCATAAGTCGTTAATTTTGTGGTAATAAAAATAATTCTGTTAATACTGTCGCTGAAGTAGTTGCATTGTGGACATTGTGTGTATAAGAAAGTGTTGCACTGGGTTTAATCAGAATTTTTAGAGCACCACGGCTGGTTAGAGAATTTACTAAGGCACATATAACCATCTAATATATATTTGAGTTCGTATGTATGTATCTATCTATCTATCTATCTATCTATGTATCTTCCCTATAGGCGGCCAAACCGCCCAAGCGATCTGGATGCAATTTTCACAGGGCCATCTCTTATACCCCGGGCGTGTTCGTAGCTGAAAAAAACCTGTCAAACCGTCAAACTCGCCGAAAAATCCGTGAAAAACCCCTCAATTCGGCAATCTTCACACAATGTCAGCACAGCCTATGACTATTGATTTTCTTGCCCTCACCTCATGATCTCATCAGCTGCTGGTATTGTGAAACCGAAACCGAAATCGAAATTAAAACAGAGCATAACCACGACCAGTTCAGAGGTACTACTCACTGAGTTCACAGTTTCCGTTCAGATGCTACGATCTGAGAATGCATGGAATGGCAATTGTACCGATTCCAGGAGAGAAGGCGTATGCATTTTCTGATTTCAACTATCAGAAATATTGTCTTAATTTCAATGTGGCATGGTTGCACGCGCCAAGCATCTGCACGTACAGCAATAGTCGCAGTGGACGACAGGACCCCGATCGCTGGGCGATGTTTCCTCTATCTGATAGCGCATTAGGTAGTGGCAGATGTTCTTTTATTCGTGCCCGTGCCGATCTCACACGAATGATAGCTGTACGTGGGGGAGTTACGCAGTTGCGGCAGCGGGTTACGCGCCACCGAACTCTCTGACCATGTGATTTGGCAGGTCGCCCCTGAGTTTGCAGAGAGATAAACGCAGCGGAAAGAGCATGTTTTTTATGCCGCCATCGAGTCTTTTGAAACGGAAAAGTCCCAACGCGCATTCGATAACATGCTGTTTAATATAAACAAGTGAGCTTTTCTGTCTCATTCTACGCTCCTACTTAACTGCGGCTAGAAGGGGTCGTGTGCCCCCCGCACCCCGGATAGCTGCGGGAACGTACGCCTGGAGTACGGTGGGGTATACCGGGCAACGGCAGTACCCCGTGTGGTTACGATCTAGAATGGCCGGACCGGGTACCGATCGCCTACTCGCACTAACCGAGTCTAGGAGCGGGTGCCTAGCGGCCTGAGCTCCCTAATCGCCCAACCCGCCAAACCCTACACGGGTGGAACCATACGTCGAGAATAGGGCGCACCGTGAGGGTACCGTTCCGGGTAATAGGGCGCTGGGGCCATAGGACCGCTATGAGGGAGGCGCATACTTCAATCTATTAAATATTCATGTCTCAGGGGGTGGGGTGGTCGTGAGGGAGTTGGGCTGGCTGGCCCGGGGTCAAATATAGAATCGTCATGGGACTAACTAGTTTTTCCCGCGCATGCTTATTACTCTATTTACCGTGGATAAGTGTATGAATGACCGCGGAGTGGCG